TTTCAGTTTTACTTATCTTAAATCATAATATATATAAATTTTGTCTTTTTGAAAAGTATTGTAAACATATATTCTTATTGAATTTCATTATAAACTATCATAAATATTTACATAAATATGACCATTCACTTCAAGATATTAAATTTTAAAATAAAATAAATTTTCAATTGCTTTATAAAATTTTCAAAATTGAAACAATTATTAATTATCAAGTGATTCATCAGATATTATTAGCTGCCAATAGACTCACTTAGAACAAACTTTAATGCTTATGGAAGATTCATCACATATTTAAATCTATTTAGAAGATTATACAACATATTCATATTTTAGGGTATTTAAAATTTTAAGTTTTCAATTTTATACATTTGTTTCACATATTATTTTAAATCAATATTATCTCCAATTCTTTATTTTGATCAAGTTGCTTTCAAGATTATGATATAATTTATATAATATAAAAAAAATTGAGAATTAATCAAGATACATGTTATTTGTATTAAAAAAATGAATTAATTTTCTTATTTAATTAAAAATTTAGTTAAAATGATAAATAAGAAAATTCATTAGAAAAATCTATTGACATTTACTTAAAATTTAAATAAGCTCAAAATAATGAAATTGATAACATATAAGCTCATAAATGTTGCATGAAAAATTGCAAATTAAAATAATTAAATTTTATTGTTACATTGATGAATATATTGTTACTTCATATACAAAAATTATTTGAAATTCATTGCAATAATATAATATAAGCAAATAATCAACACAAGGAAATACCTAGTTTAGATCAATAAAATCTTAGTAGTTCTTATTAAGGTTTTATTTACATAAAATTTATTAATTTCACTAAATATTTTGGTGAAATTTTTTATATAGTGATATACTTAGCAACTTAAGGAATCAAAATTTAATCAAATTAATTCATATCAATATTTTTCAATGTCTTGGTTACTAACTAAAATTATGATTATCTCTACATCACATCTAATTGGAAATAAGTCATAATCAAAACATCATAGAGTATCAAAGAGAGATAAAAAAATTTAATCATCAACTTTCTTTGTGAAAAATAGCACAATGTATTTCAAGATTTTCAAAAGTTTCATTTGACAATATTTTGTTATATACCACACATTTTGGCGTGTGAAATCTCTCATTATCAATCTGGTTTTGAATATTCATATCTGGTTGTCATTCATTGTTTACTTCCATTTGCAATCAATCAAAGATTGATTCATTGACAGCTTCATTAGTTTCAAAGTCTTGTTATCCTAAAACTATTGCATCTCCCGTGCCATAGCAGTATGACATTCATGCTTATTGAAAGAAGGTTGAGCTTTTCTATAAGAAAATAATTCCTCCAAATTAAACTCAATCTCATTTTCACCTTTGTTTCGATATAACAATGTTCAAAAGTGAATGAAATAGTCTAAAATTCATACCTTGTAAGAGATATACTAATCCAATTTAATTATCATGTAATATAAAATTTTCAAGAAAATTTTTATGCTTTCATGAATTCATCAAATAATGCGCTTGGGGCAATGACGCAGTTAGTGAGGTGAAACCGAGACGCGTCAATTGCTGGTTGAAAACTATTTCCAAATGCATGTTATTTTAATTTGCATCTTATAATATTCAATATCTACAAATAAATTTTTTTTATTCAAAATTCATAAAAAAATACTTTGATGACTTTTAAAATATACACAAGTAAATTAAATATTGTAGAAATTTCAGACTGTTAAGTTAGTTGTAACATATTTTGTTGGGATAAAAAACTTATGCAGATAAAAAACTTTGTTGCAATTCACATCTTTTTTTAATGTGAATATTCCTATTAGCCAAGTTTTTACCAGGATTTTGAAATTATTTTCTAAAAACAAGGTGTTTTTTTCAAGATCATTGATCTTAATATTATATTTTTCAAGAATAGTATATACATTGTAACAATACAAAATAACACATTCACTTCTAGAAGTCATAAAATGTGATTTTGTTCTTATAAAGTTAAAAAATTTGGCACAAAGATTGTAATTGGGCTCAAATTAAAATACTTTACAGATTTAAGTTTAAAATAATCATCAATCTTCTAAATCAATGACTAAATTTTGATATTTTCAAATCAAAAGCATTCAAAAAATCTTCCAACCAAATGTGTAATTTCTATTAAAACAAATGAATTTGCAATTCTTTAAAAATTTTGATTTAGTCATGCACAATTGCTTACATAACTTCACAAAATTATGTGCAATTTAATTTAATTTAATTTGTTGTGAATCAAATTCTCATAACATTTGTTTTATCGTGTCTACATTTGAAGTTTAACAATCAAACGTTTGCAAAATTGGAAACATTATTTTGTAATTACTGTAAATTTATAATTCTCTAATGTTTAACATTAATTGCACACATATATTTCGCATCCAAGATTTTGTTTCTTAAGATCAAATTTTCTATGCAATGTCAAAAGTCACAAAAAATCTTGTATTCACATTTATCTCTAGCAATTCATTACATACATAGTGCTTTAAATATCACCTATTGTAGATAAATTCTTTGCCAATCCAATGATGGTTACTTTGTATCACACTAGTTTTTTTGCTAAAAGGTTGCATAAATTCATTTCATCTTGTTAAATGTTAAATTTTAACGTCGTTACATTTAACATCAAAGTAATTATATCATTTTTCATCAAAGTAATCAAGCAATGCGATCAATCTAATTTCAATTTCAAGCAAACAAATCTGAATCTGACATGAGATGGTAATGCAAATGATGATATTCTAACCTATTTACGTATTTTGACGTAGCCGCTGACAAATTTATCAAAATCATCTTCCGTATTTGCAAATGTACTTCTAAAATACCCCTTTTGCACAAAGTATCTTTATTTTTTGATCTTGTCTCCCCACATGCATTAACATCAAAGACACTATCCATCAACCTCCTTTTATAAATCAAAATTTCATGATTTTGTTTTCATTTAAAATTAGTTTTGAAAGTGATGGAAAAAAAACAAAATTTAGAATAATTTTTTTTTGTTTTTATAATCAAAGTATATTTTATGACTTGTAAAAGCTCTACTAGCTCAAATGTGATATTTAAGTAGTATTCTTTGGTTGATACATATTGTTTGATGTGACTATTTAAGAATTTTGAATGATAGTTTCATGTTTTGATTCTTGGTTTTAAAAATTTACTCCATGTGACATATTAAGAAGTTAAAATTGATCAATTTTTTTTCCAACAACATCTTGTCAATATAGAATTTTATTCTTGTCAAAACATAGAGTTTGAGAAATTTTTCCCTCTTTTAATGCTTTGAGCTCATAAAAAAAATGTTGATATAGTTGGTCAAAAAAAATATCAATGTCTATATATTTAGACAACAATGATCTATCTTGTTGTTTGAAGTATATTTCAATAAGTATACTATATAGGTAGCATCCAACTTCATCATATTCTACTAGATGTGAGAGTATAAACTATACTATCAAATATTCTCAAACAATTAGACCATTCATTTGTAATTCAAGTTAAATTAAGTGAGGAAATAAATTGCACTAGAAGAAAAAATAAACTACAAAAAATATATGCTAAAATAATGATAAATTTGGATTAATATTCTTATGATGAACCAAAATGACTAATCAAACTACTCATATTATCCATCACTAGAGGTTGAATACTCTAAAAGATATCATTGCGTTGCAAAGTATCGATCCTGGTGAAATAAAAAGTCACTTTTTTCACTTTGCAGTAAACTCTAAAATACTTAAATATATCATTGACATCTTTATCTATAGATATTTCAAATTTTTTCAAATAAGAATTTCAATTCAAACTATCCAGATTTTAAAACTCAAACTTTTGCCTGAAAATAAATCCACATAAATCTTGAAAAATCATCATTATAGATATATAATATAATTTTTCGAAGAATAAATGAAATATGTTCCATTATACTATTCTATTAGTTACCCAAACTCATATTTACGTGATTCTTATATTCATTGCAAGAAAATTATTTCAATCATCATCTTAAACAAATTTCAACCAACATTTTCGCTGATTTTCAGAAAATAAAAAAATAATCTTAGATCACAAATTGGGTCAATATTTTTGGATGCAAGAGTATGAATGAGCAAAATGTCTTAAGAAGAACATGATATCTTATGATTTTACTCCCTCTTCATACGGGCAAACAGATTGATGATCGTAGATATGTAAGTTATATTTCGTGTCGCGATTCTATTGGAGCTAAACGTTTATCGTTTAGCTCGTATAGAATCACGATCTAAACTATAGATCACTACTGGTTCCATCTCCGAAGTGCTTCAGGGGTCTTCCCAACCCTGTTGCCATAGTACTTGGTCCCCATTCTTAAATAGTATTTTGCAGTTTGTTTCAAGTTTCCATAGCGCATCCATCAAAATTATCCAACTGCCGTCCTTCCTGAGAAGACCTAATACCTTCGACTTGACAATAGTTCTTGACCTTGTGAGGCGTCGAGTGCTGGCCTAGAGCACTCAACGATTTCTGCTCCACTTACTAATGGGCATAGTAGGAATGCACTCGAACCACCACCACAACATATCATCATTCCCAGAACTGCCGATTCAAACGCCACCGAAACCGAAACCTCGAATTGTAGTATTCTTTTTCCAGCTAGCTCGAAGACCGGCTTCGGATTCTGGAGTCTTGAATGTCAGTCATGCTTTGCAGGTGAGATTTCTAAAGCGCCGATGACATCCATCAGACAGATCCATCGCAAGCTGTGCACTGAAACAGCAGACTGAAATGTGATCACATCTGGAGAGGAAGACAAAGAGGTATTGCTGCATGGGATCTGAATCTTACAATCATGCAGAGATTGGTCTTATCGATCGATCAGAAGCTATAAGCAATTGATCTAGAGCATAAAGAAATATGAATAAAGAAAATCGAAAAGGTTGTAATAATCATAGAAGCAGTTTATTGAAGCATCAGCCGCACTGGCTACTAACATACACATTCAATCCTTCGTCATTGCTGACCCGGACTCGTGAGACCATCACTCCGTTCAATCATCTTCGTGAGTGTCAACTCTCTGTTTCTCCACGTAATATTTGAAGCATGCTGGAGATCCCATAGACTTGAAGCAATTCTCCAATGAGTCCAACGAATCTCGTTGGATCTCTTCTTCTTCATCCATACATATGATGAATAGACTCTACAATCGATGCTCTGTGCGCAGTGACACTGCAATATCGGATCTACAATCTTGAGTGATCGCGAACCGAAAGCTAAGTAACGAAAGCTAGCCCCTAATCACGTGCACCTCGCGCAAAAGATTCAGCAGACGACGATACATTTATCATTCTATCAAGCATCCTGAAACTCATCCGATTCCGCACGCACTCAAGCGATGCTCACCGATCGAGAAAGGACTCCGAGCTTTATTTTTGCACAACAAGAGAGGGTCGACACATGTGGCTGGAAGTTGATGGTTTTTTCCTCAGATCTACAAATGATCAAATAAACCGAGACACAAAAGTCACGGTCTGCCCCGCGCGCTTTTCACAGAAGAAGAAGAAGGCGGCGGCCGGACGAGAAACCCCGGTCAAAAAATAGACGCGCGCGAGGAAAGGTTCCTACTCGCCCCTGGACTGGCCGGCACGGGACGAGAGGATGATACCGACGATGAGGCCGTAGAGAGCGAGCGCCTCGGCGAAGATGAGGATGAGGATCATTCCGACGAAGAGCTTGGGCTGCTGGGCGTTAGCCCTCACTCCAGCGTCTCCGACGATGCCGATGGCCATGCCGGCCGAGAGCCCTGCCAGTCCACAGGCCAGACCGGACGAGAGATGCGCGTATCCGTCGAAGAGGTAGTAGGGCTTGGCCTTGGGGTTGATGCCCGTGCTGATGATGACAGCGATGATGAGCCCGTAAATTCCCAGCACTCCGGCCATGACCACGGGCACGATGGACTTCATCACTAGCTCCGGCCTCATGACTCCCATGCTCGCCACTCCGACCCCGCTCTTAGCCGTCCCGTACGCCGCCCCCATGCATGAGAACACGAGCGCCGCCGATGCCCCGATGAAGCCGAAGAACGGCGCCGTCTCGTCTCCGCTGAATCCCACGTCCGTCGACATCTTCTCTTCTCTCTCGCCCTTCCTTCGATCGATCGATCGATTCGTTCACTGATTCGCCGACTCTCGAGCGAGGGTGGAAAGAGGTTGTACTTCGAGGTCCGAGATTGCTCTTCCGGCGCAGAAGATGTAGAACTATCGAGCGGAAGAGAGGAATGGTTGAATGATTGATGCTGAGGAAGACGGAGGAGAGAGACCTTCTTATTGGGACGAACTGGCTGCTGGTAGTGCTGCTTCTGCTGATCCCCACGAATTGTTCAGAGCCAGAGGGATTCAGAAGGATTTCTCGACGTGTATCTTTTGGTTTATTGGAGAGACAGGTCCTCTGTTTCGATGCGACCGGGGCTGTGAAAGGGCGACGACCTACCTCCCTTGGGGCTCGAAGAATCGAGGAGCACGAAGATGACAGCGAATGATGTGCATATGTATGCGCATGTTCAGCAGTTCAGGGGGTTCGGTCACGCCCTGGACTTTCACCGCCACGATGGACACAAAGCTTCGGCTCTTCTTCTCGTCTACTGCCATCGACGAGGAGAGGCTGAAGAACGGTCGACGAAGTGGCTCGTGCGTATGCCACAGTTCGTCTGACGCAGTTCAAGCGTCCCTCACGGTGGTCACAGACCGAGCTCTCGATGTCGGAGATCATGTTCACGTGCTCAAGAGAAGGGCGAGCTCTGTGTCCGTCCTCGACTCCTAATGTTTGTCGTGGACTGAAACGGGGATGACTGAGACATCTGTTCAGAATCTTCACAGTTCGCCAACTGGGAGAATTGTAGTTTAATTGCCTGGGGCCAGCAGTCGCCACGTTCATCAGTGCAAATTAGACCTCGAACTCACTCGTTCGCTAGCTCGCTCGAAGATCCGAGTATTGCAGCAGAATCCTTGTGGGCCCAGACTTCATAGATTCCACGATGACAGTGTGGACACCACGCACATCCACAGTTCCGACGCCCTTCAGAGCGTCAATCACAGAAAGAGAAGAGAAGCAAAACCAATAAATCTGGGAAGGCTTCAACGAATCTCAGCAAGGACGATCGGCCGTTCCGGCTGGCACGGGCGCAATCATGTCCAGTATCAGAAGCAACCGTGAAGCTTTCGAGAAAAATGTCCGCTCACTCGCTGGAATTCTGTCAGTAGCGATCGGGCCTGTGACTTCCGTCGCTTTGGGCGCCAGAAACTGACGTTTGACATGTCTTTCGTGGGTACTGTGTACCGGTGGTGGCATGTATTTGCTACCAAACTACGGTCAAGACTTGTAATGTTCATCAGGGCAACATTCGGTTTAACAGGAGATTGATTACAAGGGAAAAGTCGAGCCCGATGACGACTATTCCTGCACACGACTACCTTTTGGTGAATGGGAATTGAGGACATGCGATGTGGGTATCAAGGGAAAGATTCACTGTCATAGGTTTTTAGGATTCTCATTCATTGACAAACAAACACTCTCATGATGATTGTCCGCTAATATGTCGTTCTCCGGGACCTTCAGCAGTCATGGCCAAGGATCCGGCGAAGGATCCCCAAGTCGATTCCTGAAACTATCAACATGAACCGAACAATAATATCTACAACAGAGAAAATTTTACCATAAAATTCAGGTTTTACAAACGCAATCAAATGCAAATATTTTATCATTTCATTGCAAATATTTCATAGACATAGACTCGCCAGAAAACGTCAAAAAGTGTTTTTCATATTTGATGATCAATACAATTATATTCTAATCTCAACGTATTACGTACAATATAATTATTCCGACTGAAAATGTTCCTTTAATATAATCAGACAAAAGTGTTACCTTTTATCTAAAAATTAAATTGTGATAATAAATTCACAAATATAATCATCACATGTTTTGTTCGGAGTTGACAGGCATGTTTCATTTCATGTAATCCGCAACTTTCAAGAAATTCAGTTCACTGCAATTTTGTGCAGGAACCACGATTACTCCTGTTTTTCAAAATGAATAATATAACATCAGAGTATACTAAATGCTAGACACTTATGACATAAACCACTTACCCTGGATATATTAAGTAGACAAAATTTTAAGTATATGTTGATATCTTAGATATGTTGTTACATCATTAGAAAAAATTGGAGTAGATTTTTCATTCCTATTTTATTGGAGTAAACCATGTTGATAGTCTTGATGCTAAGCAATGAAAATTGTCTGCAAAAGAATATGCCTTTGAAGATGCAAAATGCCCTTTTTCTACTGAGGTCCAACATGATTAAACTCTCATCAATCCTATACATAAATATACAATATGATTAAACTAGAGGACCAGTTTTCTGGTTGACTCAAAGTGTAAATTCTTAATTTAGTTGACTCCTGGAAAAAACGCTTTTTGTAAATTTTGGAATATTGTTTTCTTCATGATTGTCAAAATAAGCTACGTTCTAAGGTGAAGAAAAAAGTGTGGTTGTATTTTCTCCACTTTTTAAAGTTTAACGTATTTATACTTTCTCCATTATTGACATCGCCGTCATCAGACTAGTTTGACCACTTTGTACCTTTGCAACGTTTCAGTAAAAAATCAGAAGAAAATATTGAAATTCAAATTTGCTTTCTTAGAACAACGTAATACATGACAAGACGTTATCAGGCTTATTCGTTAAAAGTTCGAAATACCTGCACTGACACTATCTCCGTTTCATTCAGCTGCTTTTATCGGTATTATAAAGATCTGAACCAAAACATGACACTGCGTTGCTTCCTGGACTACGTCTCTTAAATATATGACGGAACAGCACTGAGACGAAAGCAACAAAATCCCCGAAAATCAGGACGTACACCCATGCCATATGGAACCATATACTCTGTGAATGCAAAAGCAGTCATCGGCTCTTATCTGCTTATCTTTACTTCCAAATGTACTATAAAGCAAGTTTTGAGGATTGAATAATGGCAAAGAACTTATTCATTGACTTTTTCGGACTAACCTGCTCTTTGCAATCAACATTTCTAGCAGAAGAGTGCATTTGTTGTCTATCTTCAATCGTTGCAAGTTATAATAAGTTATCGTCCGCATTTGCTGATGCTTAAATTGGGGCCAAGTAAAGAGCAAAAAGGACTGACGACCACCGCATCAGGCCGTACAAGGATGAAAGGAAGTAGGTGACAGGTGCCCTATTTGCTGAAATAGCGTATAGTTTTTTATTTAGAGTCAACTAATCCGGTGGTTACTTCGAAGGCTGGCAACTTATTTTTACGATGAGATACGTTCATTGCGTAATTAGCTTGTAATGACATTCTAATCTCAAGTCTCTATCTAGGCCTTTTCAATTCATCGCACACTAAAAGAACTGCATATTACCCCTATGCTTGTAGAGTTAAGTGGATATCGTTGCTAGTACTTGAATTGACATACACATTTACTCTCGTCATTTGACAAATTACAGAATTTCTACCCACGCATTTGATCTTTTTATTCGTACCCCTCCTCTTGGAATGAAATGTATATGAGAAAATAATCTTCAGAAGCTCTGCTTCAGACAGGTTGGTTTTGGAGAGATAGTCACAAATTTTTTTGTATCTAGAAGATTTAACCTCACTCACGTTGTTTCATTAACCTACCGGCTAAAAGTAGGTTCAAAAGGCCAGGCTGAGGTAAACTCGGCCTTCTATAAACTATACAGTTGAAAAATGAAAGACATATTATCGAATTGTATCTGAAATACTCAGCTAGATTGAATTCATCAGTCCGTTTAAGTTCCGAGCAATTTACAATAGATGGGTTTCTGTCGAAAACTCATCATCCTGAACATCTACTCGAGGCAAAACTTGAGGCATCATTCGTTTTCTTATCAGCAGCCTCCACGTGTCGAGCTGTTGTGACTTCTCGGGTAATCACCAGTACTCCGCGTACGGTATTCATAATCTGATTCAAGAATTTGCAATCTGAATAATTTTCCAGTCAATGGATGAATGTGAACATAAACCCTCTGCGTTGAGCGTCCTCGATCACCAACGGTGCTGCTTGCTGCGAGATCTTTGAAAATGCACCTACCACCCTGCTCGTGTGAAAGGTCGTCTATTGCAGAAAGGTGAGTCTCAGAAGCGAAGCAAAATTAGTAGCTGGTAGGTAAGACTATATCCTCCAGTCATATTGCGTGTGGGTAGGGCTCCTCAGGGCTCCTATGGAACGACTGTAATGAGATCTCGTATCTCATCACTTTACATCTCCAGCTCAGTGACCTACAACAGGAACTTTAAAGTTTTGCCCCGTTATAACGAGTAGCCCAAGGCTTGTCCTGCCATGGCCATCTGAGTAGTGGCTGAGCCCTGAATAATTCGATTGAGTGCTTCCTGGTTCTCGATTAGCAAAAAGCCGAGTGTGACCTGTGAGAGACCCTTCATAGTGAGGTTCAAGCTGTAACTACTGCACCCTTTTGTTACAGCAGCGTGGTAAATTTTAAGTGAGATATGTTTACCAATTACATATTGAATGTTCGCAAGAAGATTCTTATTATCTACTCTGTTCATAACAGAGAGTAGTTTAATTTTGAGTTTGTGCAGATTCACTGAATTGAGATATGACAGATTGGTGCACATCTTAAACAGTTTATGGTTGCCAAACTTCGAGAAGAAAATGGGAAGCACCTTTTCAGTGCGGAGGGAGGGAGGGCGGTGGGCGGGCATCCAGGCCCAACATTTGAAACAAACCTGAAGGAGATTGTATTTCATACTGCTTTCGTTACACATGCAAGACTCAGTAGTAATCATGATACAGTCTGTTTATTGAAGAACTTTGCGTGGAGAGCTAGATTCTTTAAGCTGAAAGTTCTTGTTGATAGAGGCAAATATTTCATTTATCCACCCCCAGTAAAGATTCCTGACTTGCCCTTTGTTATATCCATCAGTCGGTAGGGCATTGTATATAACGTTTTTAGAAATGTACTCAATTCTCTCTACACATCGAGAGTTTCTGGACCTTAACTATCTGTAACCAAAAAAACTTGCCCAAAATTCAACGAGCCTGCAGAACATGGCCATACGTAAATTTTAGTTTAATGTTCTAAGTGGAGCTGCAATCGTGAGATAAACTTTATTGATTACGATGCAGAAAGTAAAGTCAGCAAATCTCAACTCTTTTGCGAAGAGTATGTCGAGGACTGACGTTGACTACAACTAATCCTCGTCCTTGACCCGCATCGCAAAGCTTTCTTCATCTGGCTGTCCGTCTTTCGAGAATGACGGAAACAAAGTGAAATTGTATCTTCGACTGAAGAAGGTTTGTATTACACTTCATCGATCATGTTCAATCATAGGATAGACGTTACGCTCAGTTCTCAATAAAAAATAAACCGAAAGGGAAGCTGGCTCGGCTGGACAGACAGTCAGTTTGATGTAAATAATCCAAAGTCGAGTCTCAATGTCCGACGGGAAGTTCTGACTTCCCGTAGGACATTGAGACATCACATGACAGCCTGGAAATCGGGAAGAAGGTGAGCTTGTAACGAACCAGTATCGATTCAAACATTCCTCCGGTCTCCACATTGCCTCCCCGATCGCAGAGCCAAAATCTCAAAGTGGAGAAGAAGCTCACTCGGTCGGTCATGTTTGCCGCCCCACGCCCGCAATCCGATGCAAAGTTGATTATGCTTTTGCATCTGCCACCCCGTCCTCGAGGTGGATAGACTTTCAGTGACAACTATCTTCGCCTGAGTGCTCAGAGCAAGTTCAGTATGATGCATGTACGATTGGGCAAGGGTAGGTAAAAGGAGCTTTCAGATATATATGATCATTATACATTTGACAAAGCTAGCGACGTAAGTCCTTTTCATGCTGAAATTCTCAACTTTTCCACCTTCATTTCTCAAGAGGTTGTTCAAGAGTTGTTGGAAGCCCCTGCCCCCCATCTCTCCCGGAATGAGCAACGTCACACTTGACCCTCGCGGGTCCCGGCAGACTTCTGGTACGGATCTAATCATTTCGCCTTTCCGTTGTCCTATGCACCCCCCTGGGGCTACTGGTCGCTTTTATTTGAAGGGTACAGAAGTCAATCCTCCGTAATTGACTTCGAATGAAAGAAGGGCGAGCCCCTTTTTGAGAAACCACAAACACTCAGAGATCCGGCAATTTGTCACCATTTCCGGATCGGGCTTTGAAAACATAAATCCCCCGAGACGACCGGCAGGAAGGATCTAGGCAAGCCCCAGATGATCCGATCACATGTGCATTCAGAATAAAGTGAAATCGACGAGGCTGCAAAAACGTGAGAAGTATATATAACTGGATGATGACAGGTGAAAAAAACGGATTCTCCGCAAATCAGCTTAATTGGCTTCCGTAATAGCCTATCAGCATCATGTGTACTATATCTCTATGTCACCGATGTGCCCAATGTAGGCAGCATCGGCCGCAGAAACCGAAGGCTCCCTACGTCCTTTCAGACACTTTATTTGCGAGCGCTGCAGGCGCTAAAAAATAATAATCTCGTTTTCGAATTTTTGCGCCTCGTGTGATGAACGAGGCAAACATTCTGTTCTGTAAAGGTTGCATGTTTTAATCTCCTGTAGCCCTTGAGGTCTAATCTAAAAAAATTGGGCACATAGACAGGCTTGTGACCGGCATTGTTCACTGGCGCCTGCCATCGGGGGGAGGAGGATTCATCACCATCATCATCCTCCTCTTCCTGGAGGAGGATGATGATGGTGGAGGGAGTCGAGAACATCGAGAACATCGAGGAGCTCTTACGCTGTCGCGGTGGGTATGGAGGAGAAGATGGAGGAAAATTCAGGATCCTTCTGGATTCTGGTCATCCTGTCCCGGTGAAGGTTTAGCAGGGCGATCATGTGGCCGGGGCCTCGAGGGCTGGGCATCATGGCGATCCCGTCGATGAGAGGCCTCGCTGGAGAGTTTCGAGCTGCGAACGAGGGCCTGCCGAGTCCGAAGTCCATCTCGTACAACGGGAAGAACGTCCAGAAAGTGGCCGCGACGTCACGGCCCACGGAATTCACGTGCTCGGACTTGGACGGCGTCGTTCCCTGCACCTCGACCCAATCGATCAACGAACGGAAATAATCCGCGCTCACGTTCGCGCAGGCCTTGCGGATCAGCCCCGCCGCGTAGGCCGCGGGCCTCTGCAGAATCTCGCCCTCCGTGCTGACGGCGCAAGCGCTGCACACAACGTTGCCGAAGTACCCTGGCGGCATGTTCAGCTTCTTGCGCCCGTCGACGAACATGAAGAATCTGGTCATCGTCTGCTGCTGCTGTTGCTGGTGGTCCGGATCGAATTTCTCAGCTCGGCCCTCGCTTCTGGCCCTCGCCATTTGTTGCCAAAGCGTGCCGGTAATACTCTCCGCCGAAGTGAATTTCCTCATCGAATTATCATCCTCCTCGCTCTCGAAATTCACCTTATCCTTCAGCCTGAGAACGATTTCCTTGTCGAGGTCGAAGGTACCCAGAACAGGAGGCTCCAGGGCCCTGGGGCCGTCGGAATTCTGCACTTCCAGATTGACCCGGTTCAGACTGTGCGAGGATTTGGTGCTGTAGCCTTGCACAAGGCTCGGATCGGGATTCGGTCGGGGATTCAGAAGCATTCGCTCGTGGTTGGGCTCGACCGACAGGCCGCAGCCCGTGGCCACCTCGCTCCAGGATTTAATGAAGTGACAGCCCGAAGAGCCGTCGGCTACGGAGTGGTGCCAGTTGGTGGCAATCGCGACTGCGCCGCACAGGAACTGCGTAACTTGCACCACGAGGGTGGCGATCGGCGTCAGCTGGTCGGGGATGTAGATCGGGCCGCGTCCAAGCCTGGCGATCTCCAGGCCCGACAGCCCGTCCATGGTGCGCGGGCCCCCGAGCTCGCCCAACGTCTGCCGCAGCGTCGCCGTCACGAACACCGCGCCTTCGTCGTTGCAGTGCAGGTCCATGAGTCCGTCGTCTCGGAGCTTCAGCCTGCCGCCGAGCGGGAAGAAGTGCACCAGCACCTCGGCCAGCGACTGCCTCAGATCCCTCACCACGCTCTCGAAACTGCGGCTCGCGGTGATGGCGCTCTCGTAGAAGTGGATCACGCTGCTGAACGTCGGAGTCACCACGCGGTCCAAATTGCTCAGAGGGAGCCACTCGTTCTCCCTCGCAGTCGGCCGCGCCGGCGCCACCAACGTCTTGCGCACGCTCCTGGGTCTGAACTGCGATCTGTCGAAGGCCATCGGACTGGTCGGCACGGAGTTCATCGTCCTCCCGCACTCTCTGAGGTAACTCCCGCCGACTCAGACAGACGGTGGATCGGACTCCCCGCTACCTCCCGGCGCTAGGGACGCGTTTTCTCACGTCCGCCAAGAACCCTACCGGTCGGGCGAGCGCGCGCGCTAAGATTTAATATTGGAGCGCGAGCGTCGATCGATTCTCGAAGTCCGGCGATCGATTTTATTTCGAATTTGTTTTCCTGGCCGTTGCGCGCTTCTCAACTCCCGAGCTGCGGTGTTCGTCGAGTATTTCGGTGAGAGAGCGCGGGCCGACTTATTTGCCAGCGGCAGGCTCTGAGATTCTGAATTATGCTGTCCCCATGTTGGGCCTTTAATAGGCGCCCGAATCCCGGCTGACTTCGGCCCAGCGGCTCAGACCCGACCTGTCCGGTCTGAGCCTCTGCGCGCTCCCCTCCGGCCTTGCATGCGCGGGCTCCCATTCGTCGACTTCGGGTGACAAATGGCGAGTCCAGGGGGCCTTCGACCCCCGGACATGTGCCCGCGCAGCGCCTCCTACTGTGGAAGGAGCCCCGGTGAATGATCCTTGACCGCGCGTTGAAAGACAAACGTTGGCCAACATCGATCTCTTGTCTCGGACTCCCGACCCGCGTGCGAAATGTGAGATGCGATCCGACGAGTTTCCTAAATTCCCACGGAGTTTCCGCAATGGGAACCTCCCTACGATCCGTGGCTACCTGGTTAGCAAACAGTACCACGTTTAAAAAAAGGAAAAAAACCTCGTAGCCACTCCTCCTGACTTCATCTCAAGGACAATAGCTTCAAAAACCGACAGAAGTCAAAGCTTTTACCCGCACATCTTACCAGACCCTATGTCCGCTACAAGAAAAGACCGCGGGCTTACTCTGGGAAGGGCTGACCCTTACCAGAGTAAGCCCTAAGTCTTTCTTGCACCGCGCGGTTGAAGAGTTAAGAGCCGCCCTAGAGATTGCGAAGATGGGAATGAGCTACGAAGCTCAGCCCTCCTCACACGGCAGTTCAGCAGTTACCTCCGTTTGTTCGTTTGCGGAGCCTGGAACCGGAACCGGGCCAGTGGAAAGCCTACCCGTGGAAAGTCCAGGGGCCCTTGTCACGTAGCCAGTAGCGACGGGCGCACGTGAGAGTCCAGCCCTCCCGTAATTTGTCGTTTTTCAATATTTGGCCTCGAGCTGAGGCTGGAGGCAACCGGGTCCGGCGTCGATCACGAAGAAAGGGTCTTCCTTTCAGTGAGAGCTCGTTTAGGGACAATAATGAAGAGGGACCTCTTTACTCGTTCGTTAAAATTTCGCCAAATTCAGATTTAGAAGCCGAGGTTAGTGCGGGAACCTTTTTCGGGGCGAGTGGTGACATCGGCTGATCCGATCAAACTCTCATGTTCTTGACTCACGCGAGAGGACCGGAGGTGTTGAAAACCTCTCTTCGGAAGTTTCTATCGAGATTCGGATTCCGAGAGCCCCTGCACGCATCTGACCACCTACTTCGGTCATTCGGGACTTTTTCAGTATTCTGAATCCGAAAGTAACCTTGGTCAGGGGCCAGCGGATTATCCACCGGTAGCTCGGGTAATGATCGTTCGCAATCTCAGTATGTGATTGCGAATGTGAATCTTTTCTTCTCCAGTAGGGATCTGAACTTACTCCAACAACGGAAAATGACGATATAGTGAAGGAATTCATCAGGTTCATCTTCGAACAAATCTCTCGTCGCTTAGCAGTCCGGTCAAGACAACTCTCTTCAGCAGATCCGAGGTTCTTTGAACGCTGACTGAGTGTGAGCATCTGCAGCTCCGAAGAACATGCAGAATTGAATGGAACATTCGCTCTCAAGTCCCAGGCTATAGATGTAGCGAGTCTGGACTACGTAGATCGAGTCTTGCAAGTGTCTTGGGGTGGGGGCTCGGTAGACCACTTGGCTGGTTCTCCGTACACAGATTCGAAGTACACTAGAGTCCGTGATTCTCTGGCTTCAACGATGGGGTGTGACGTTGATCGTGGTCAGGTTTGAACCCTGACTCAATGAACATCCACCGGTTGGTTGGTCACAACTGGCCGTGGACGTATGTTGGCTCCATGGCGGCACTTGCTTCACGTGCTTTACGAAATGTCCATAATGACTGCTTGAATCTCTCTCCGGGCTCGTCAGGACTGTGTCAAATATTTCGCCTCTGACTAAACTGCAATATGTGGACAAGTCTGAGTTACTTACCCCGTGACAGATCATAATCAGACAGATCATCAGAGAGTTGACCTCGTTAAGTGAGGTAGGGAAGGGAATGTTTCCAGCGAAACTTCCTTTCTTCATGCGAAGATCTCATTTTTCACATTTTTTTTACTGCATTCCTTACGACACGTACATAGATACGGCTTTAAAGAATCGAAAAACTGATTCGCATGGGACATAAAGATGATATATATAACCGAAAATTCCAGCAACATGCCACATACCATGAATGATAGAGAAACCATTGGCCGAAAGCACGGAGAGAAGGCGAAGAGTGTTTGAACTTTTAATCAATTACACTGGAACATATACTGTAATGGTCTTACTCGAGCCCTAGACATCTACTCTTCAATCTAGGCTAGCAAGAACAATCAGCAACTTCAGATAGATCATCTCTCATGTGCAGACACTGTTTCTGATTTGTGACTTTCGCACTCTAGCTGTCAGTGCAGTTAGACATCTCATTGGATAGAAGGTGTCGTATATATTCTCGCTGAAAAAGTCCAACTGGAAGCATATTTGCATTTATCGTAGTCCTATTGTAAACCGTGCCAACTCCCGTAAGTTTTTGTTTTGTATCCAAAACAAGTAGATACAAACAAGGGTGGGATGACCAAGAGTGCTACCTCCCATATAAAGATGAAAGCAACAACGAATTGCATTGGGAGTAGAGCTACCTAGAATTCCAAAGACTCTAACTAGAAGCATATACTTCAATATGAGTGTTTCATATGAAGCCAGCTCGAATATTGATGACCTATCGTAGTTCCAATAAATCATGGAGAAAAGAACACCCACTGCACAAACCGACATATCCTGCTCTCGAAGGCTTCGACTGGGTTCAAGTTTTCTCTACGTGCTGTGTTTACATGACGTGAGATCTTTACAAAGCTGCTCAACTTCCAATACTTATTAAAAAATTATGAGCTTGATCCTAAGAAAAGTCAGGAGTATGTGAAGGATTTCAATTACAAAGGCAGAGCCTAGTATTTAGCCCCGTCGGACAATCTGAATATCTAAAACTATTGCTGGAAAATAGGTACTGCTCGGATGTTTGCTGAAAAATAAAGGAAGTGTTAGCGCTCATACTTGCCATCAACCTTGGCTACAGTCATCAATATGGCATCGAAACAAAAGATTTATTCAAAAAACAGAAACTGATATTTTTTTGTATTTGAGAGTCAGTTAAGATCTGTAAATGAAGAACAGACGAAGATAGCATGGTTACACACTACAAATTTCGTCGCGGCAATAAGTTGATAAATGGCTTCTGGGAACTTACTTTTACATCTATAAATTGATATATTTTCTAAAACCTTCAGTGCTGTTATCATTATATATGAATCACCAGAATTTCATATTTTTATCCATAAAAAATACAAACTATTTTCACGTGATTCCGAAACGTGTGAAAATCATTTAAAAAGGGTGCATTACACTGCAATGTATTACTGAAACCGAGTCACAATGTTACTAAAAAATTGTGAGTCTATATTACTAACGTGATACAACCAGCCATCTCCCCAGCCAAGCTGCGCTCTAATTATGCAATTCTGGGAAAGTGTGCGGTACAGAAAAGTGTTCTCTACTTGTTCAGACTTTAATTTGTTCATTGCCCGGTATTCACGCGAATTGAACTATCAAAAAAGTGCCTCAAAAGATACAACGAGCAAGCATTAAGCAACTGTAGCAAGAAGGGGCAGGGAGGAATATAGGAAGAAGGATTGAAAGACCCCATCATCTTGTCAACAAGGATGAAACCCATGGGGCAACGTGGGGATAAGCGCCCAAAATTCCTATTGGGATAAGCCCCATTAGCAATTTCGAGCATTTCTTCTACCAAGCAGGTCCTCACAAGATTCTCATGGCTCCTGGCCCTCGTCCTCTTTCTCTCTCTACCTCACTGCCATGTGAATGTCCTCATTGTCATTGGCATAAAATTCGATATGACATATTTGGTTCAGAGCATTCATGAACAAAATATCTGGACGAATGGTTCAGCTCGATTTAAGAGAGATAAACGTTTTGACTGACTTCGTAAAAAAGGGCGATTAGTTAGCTCATGACATCTGCAGTTGACATACATTGTGGTCATGATTTTTCGTATATGCAATGATTTCAATCCTCTCGAAAGTATCTGCGTTGAAGGATCGATAGAGAGGTCCCTTGGTTTGATCCTGAGGAAGAGGAAACTGCGATATTTGCGTCTCGATGTGGCCCAAGTACACCAACACCTGATCCGACCGCTCTCTGAAAGTGAAAGCGCTCAGAAGTGTGTTCATCATGCCGTGGATAGGCCAAGGTCAATTGCACGGAATAACACCTATTAGAGAAACTATCGACGGCCATGCCCGTGGATAGTTACTTTAGCAATTGGGGACGCCAAAGGGTCCAGCGACTGGACTCCAGTCGCTTGGAATGATTACATTTAATATAATAAGACTCTGGTAGTCTATGACTCGTCAAAGGGAGGTTGTAGGAAATATTGTTAATATAGAAGTCCACAACTTCCAGTCTTTATTACGCAATACTTACGCACTCTTTGGCATATCTCCATGGCTACATGTACATGCAAAAGTTCAATCAGTAACATCACGTTCGATCCTGCATGTGCTCGCATTAGACAATGACATCAACAACTCCTTTTCTCACACAGTTCATTTACACATACCTCCTGTAGTCAGAGTATCAGTTGATTGCATGCTCTCGTGAAATGCTAGACTATCAATCTCACGGTCGGTTGACAAAACTGACATGATTGGAGGTAATAAAGAAAATAGTGCCAGGTTGTAAGTATTTGTTGGTAAGATAGTCCCGGAGTCTGGAAGCTGCCATAGTATTCCAAACTAGCAAAAGGCCCTGTAACGAAGGGAGGAGGTGCATGAATGAGCAAAATCTCACTTCTAGCACAAAATGTGAAGTTCTACAGCGGACCATTTGCAAAAAAATCACGAATATTCAAACAGTTCCTCCTTCCTGCTCATGCTCGGTAATTATACGCCAGAACATAAATCCAATTTAAACATTATACTAAGAATGTGGCCAAGGGAATTTAGCAAAAGCCGCACGTGGATGTAACCAAAAGCATAAAGATGAGGCTCGGCCCCATTTTAAGCGTACTTCTAAGTCGTCTTAAAGATCAGGATGAGTATGATTGCAAATAAGACATACATTCGTATGTCTTATGTCTACTGGTTGCATGGTTGAAGCTTTAATCAAACAAATTAGAACGGAAAAATTTCAAAAGATCATCAAAATGTGACGTGAATTGTCACTTTGATCAACACACCACCTCCGAGTATCACAGTAACCATCCTTTTGCAGACTCAGACATTGGCAAGAGTTCTCGGAAACCGTCGAGAATAGAAGCATGTTGGCGAGTTTAGAAGAACGAAGTTGATTTATATTAATCTCACAAAAATTGTTGATTTGAATCTACAGATCGAGAGACTTTTACGCCTCGCGTGCTCGCAATGTATGTTATACAAGGGATGAATTCAAACCCTTATTTCTATACCAGTTTAGAATTATGGTTAAGTTGGTCGAGACCTTGATCTAATTGTACAAGGTATTTGTGACCAGGTGGCCTAGACTACAACTCTGGTAACGGGAAATCATGTCGGCGAAGTTTAGAGACCGAGGAACACGCTGCTGAATTGAGGTCCAGGGAAATCATGTCAGCGAAGTTCAGAGACCGAGGAAAACGCTGTTGAATTGAGGGTCACTCCGAAGCCTTTGCATGCGATCGGCAGAGAGATTGAGCAGCGCAACCATGTTGCCTGGGCCTTTAGCGCTGGGCATCATGGCGATGCCGTCGATCAGAGGTCGGGGAGGAGAATTTCTAGCAGCAAATGTCGGCTTGCCAAATCCGAACTCCATGCTGTATAGAGGGAAGAAAGTCCAGAAGGTGGCCGCCACATCGTGGCCTACGGAGTTCACGTGCTCGGATTTCGACGGACTCGATCCTTGCACCTCCACCCAGTCGATCAGAGACTTGAAGTAGTCTCCGTCGGCCCTCGAGCATGCTTGCCGGATCAGAGTCGCGGCATAAGAGGGAGCGTTGTTCATAATTTCGTCCTCCGTGCTTACAGCGCATGCACTGCACACCACATTCCCGAAGTAGCCTTTGGGCATGTTCAGCTTCTTCCTCCCATCCACGAACATGAAAAATCTGGTAACCTCCTGGTTTTGTCGTGGATAGTCGTCGTCGTCATGAGTCGAGCTCTCGGTCCTGGCCCTCGTCATCGACTGCCACAGGAGAGCTGAAATCCCCTCGGCGGAGGTGAATTTGCGCACGTTCTCCTCGCCAAGTTCTTCGTTGGCCGCATTTTTCAGTTCCTGAACGGTGTCCTTGTCGAGATGGAACATGTTGATCACGGGAGGCTCCTGCGAGCCACCGAAAGTCTTGAGAACCTCTCGATCGCTGCTCACCTTGTTCAGATTGTGAGCGGACTTCGTGCTGTAGCCCTGGACCAGGCTCGGATTGGGAGGGTCTCGGGGAGCTAGAAGCTGGCGATTGTGGTTAGGAATCAGTGAGATGCCAGCTCCGGTGGCGATTTCGCTCCACGCTTGAATGAAGTGGCAACCCGATGAACCATCGGCGATGGTGTGGTGCCAGCTTGTGGCTACGGCGACAGCTCCGCACTTGAACCGAGTGACCTGCACTACGAGAGTGGGCATGTCCATTAACTGATCGGGCATGTAGAGAGGACCCCTCCCGAGCCGAGCCGACTCCAGGCCAGAGAGTGAGTCCATGGTCTGCGCCCCTCCAACCTCCGCCAGCTCCACGCCCAGAGACATTTCGATGAAGACTGCTCCCGCATCGTTGCAGTGCAAGTCCACGAGCCCATCGTCCCGCAGCTCCAATCTCCCTGCGAGCGGGAAGAAGTAAACCAGAGCCTCCGAGAGGGACTTCTTCAATCCACCCACGACGCACTCGAAGCTCCGGGCCTCGGAAACCGCACCGTCGTAGAAATGGATGACGCTGCTGAAAGTGGGAGTCACCACTCGATCCAGATTACTGAGAGGAAGCCACTCGTTCTCCGCCGCCGTCGGTTGTGCCGGGTGTACCAGCGTCTTGCGGATCATCTTGGCCCTCAAGCTCACACCGCCCACGGTGAGGCTCGTTCGGCCCATCGCTGTTGGACTCGTAGCCATCTCTCTCAGCTACTGGATGAGGATCGAAGCTTTGAAGTCGCTGAGCTTATCTGGTGCTCCGATCGTCCACTGTCAGATCCAGATCGGAGCCGCGATATATAGCTAAGAGTGCTGAGCTGTGATCCTCGGAGAGACTGGAAGTCCGATCCCGATGAAAGTGGGGATCTCTTTGCCTGTGAATGTGTGTGTGTTTGTGTGTGGGTGGGGGGCTTGTACTTCTCGTACAGCCGAAGAACCCACGCGAGCAAATCTGTTCGAGTCTATGAAAGATGTGCGGGAATGATGAACATGGCATGAAAATTTCATTGCTTTATAGAGGGCGATCCTCGGAGGCGGGGCTCACAAGTCGATTTGCGCAAAGCAGTGATCGGAGACCGGGCGTTGAATGCAGCCGGGACACGTCGGGTGCCCTGGAGGAGGGCTGCAGTCATTGGTCGTGTTACGATATCAGGGCGCTCTCGCGTCTAACCGCAGGGGCTCGAACACCGCCCATGGCATAGACTCGGTCCACCGAGGCTCCCCGCTGCGCGCACAGCGAGCGCCGGTGCCAGTGAATCTTTACGCCAGAGTCTCAAGGTCCTCCGTGTCTTGGGGCCAGGGTTTTTCGTGATCAGTCTCTCGTTTAATTTTGTCAAAACGCAGGCCCCTTTGACTGCTGCGGCTGCGGCTGGTAGCTCGAGCTTTCATGCCCTCAACGTCGGCCCCTTCCCCTGAAACCCGATCGGCATTCGGCCGAAGTCCTTCCGGAAATAGGCTCCGCGCTCCTTGACTCGGAGAGCCCTGGGGGCAATCACCACCGTCCGATGCGAGAAGCGGGCGTCGTCGATCTCCACGACAAACCGTAGTTGCCACTTCTGTGTTGACCTCTTTCATCATCCGGTGCTCCTCGGGAAGCAGCGCAGTCGGACGATCGTGCTCACAAGCCCCCATGCCTAACGATTGCTCTACAGCGTAGACCTTCTCCGAGGATACTGAGAAATTCTTTTCGAGGAAGCCGAAATCGCAAATGCACGGACATTCATTTCCGATATTATTCCACTCCGTTACAGTCTTTCGACTCGCTGACTTATCTCCCTCCTCCCTCCTCTCAAGGCTCTGGGCCCCCGCGATCAACCTCCTGCAGGAGCGGACGTGGGCACCGGACTCTCGAATGGCAACTCCGAATTTCGAAGCCCCATCAGCGCTCGATTGCCCTGCCCACATCCCCCTCATCGGAGATTCGACGGGACAGTCCGTCGGGAGGACAGCTTTTTGATTGTGTTTCGGCCTCATTTGGCCTTGACGGGTTATTGTCTCCATCCCATTCGTTGATTCTCAGGCTGCGGGACAGGACGTACCCTGACAGGCTTCGTCCTGTCCCGTTCGGGGCGTACGCTGACAGGCTACGCCCCGAACGGAACGGAATCGGGTCCACCGGGCTACCGGCGTCGCAGCCATTCGGTGACTCTAGTCGTCATGAGTCCTATATTGATGCAAACCAGGGTCGAGATGATTATCCAAAAGGACAAATTTCACTCCCTTTGATGAGAGCAAGCAAGCAAGTGGGGGCTTGAAGCTTTACTTCCGAGTGGTGTGACGTCAAGTAGACGTGCTATCATCAAAACCAGCATTAGAATCTCTAGCAGGTCTTCCAGTCCAGGAATCAAATAACAGTCTTCATGTAGTACTGGGTGACATGGTTTACAGTATCATCTCCACTAGTGTCAGTAACTCCAATACAACCGCTCCTCCATTGGGTTTTAATTCAGATGTGTTCGTTGTGTAACTTTGAAATGAGAAAGTGTTCACATGACGATCTTTGATACTAGAGAGTGGAGAATAAAACTATATTATGTACATTAGGGAACTTGTATTATCTTTGTTACTTGAGAGCTTACCTGCAACATAGAGTTCCAATCTTCACATCTTTAATAAATGTGAGTGTAGATATGTCAATTGGTTTAAGACAAAGGAATGAAAGTTGCAAACGTATTTGGTCAGATATTTTGTGGGATTGTAAGGGAGTGCGCACAGCTAATGTTCAACTAGATAAAAATGAAAATAATTCATCCTTTTGAAATTGTTAGCGTTAAAATATTACAATTATAATTGTCCATGTGGGCATGCTTACAAAAAATATAGTATGTATCATAACGTCATGCAAGAAGTGTTGTAAGTTTTTATGTCATGGTGTATACTTTAAAAACTATCAAATTTAATCATGTTTTGAAATAATTATGTCTCCATTGCTCTCATTTACCACTCACAAGAATAATCTCTACATAGCATTAGATAATGTCTTGTTTGTAAATTATTCCAATATATTACTGGGATTGTACTAAATGATACAGTACATATTGTCTTTGCCATATCTCATGTTCCAACTACTTTCTCCCAGTTCATTGATTATTTGTAAAGCTCGATGGTTCTTAACATCTCTTTTAGCAATCTTTTTGTTGCTAAAGGGAGAAAAAAAGTAGAAGTAGAAATTGGATTGAGACCCTCTCACTCCGATGAAAGATTGCATGATTGAATTTCCTTTGCATATACAAATGCTAGGTTAAATTAGTAAAGATTGGAGGGAGATACTATTACTGTTATAAAAGTTAGCATGGATTCGATTTTCTTGGCATCTACAAATGCGGGGTAAAAAGTGAAAAATGGAGTAAGATCTTATCACTCTTTGAAAGTTCGCATGGATCGAATTTTACTTTGAATTTAATTGTGCTGGGTGAAAAAGTAAAACTGGAGTGAGATCCTGTCACACTGTTGGAAGGTTGCACGGACTTGATTTTGATTTGCATCTACCGGATCATCACCACCGGGATTTTAAGGTAAGATGTTGCGAGGATAACTCGATTCTCCTCTTCTTTATGCTTAAAATATGTTCCTATATTCAACAAGTTGAAGACAAAGCCTCCCCACATGTCAGAGAATCAGCATATTCTTGAGAATCATTGTTGCTGCTTATAATTTGGCCGTGTTCGAGCTCCTCTAGCTCGTGGGTTGGCCTTTGACTTTGAGAGTCCGATGCAACAATTGCTCGGAACTATCACACAATGTGCACGAGTTGTATCGAAATTCTTCTCCCACGGGAATGAGCCAGAAATTCCTACGTTATTCCTACGTACAGATCCGAGATCCACGCGCCTTGAAGAGCAATCAGTCGCTTGTCGAGAAGCGGCCTTGTATACGAGATTCAGTCATTTTGTCAAATTCTGCCAACCGCCGGCCCTCCCTCTGCACATGGTCGTTAATCGAGTTGGAGAAGGTTCCCTCCGTCCCTGCAGTTACTCAAACGCGTCACTGCCTCCATCCCAACTCTGGGACCCTTCACAGTCATTCATTATTCAAGCCCTATAGTTGACAACACTGTAACTCTCAGACCCAGAGCTCTAAACCGGGCGTGTACAATGGAGATCTATTGTGTGCGTGTTGACTTTCGGTCATACATTCCTATCAGCATGTGTTACATGCTCCTTATGTTCCTGTTTCCGTGACCATATTCAGCGTTCGATTGGAGACAGATTGCTTAGTTCGCAAATTTCCTGTCAATGCTCTCCCTCAGTCATACCTTGAGCTAAAGCGATGCGATCCTGGGCAGGTCGATGTGGAGGCAGAAACCGGCGCAAGTTTCCACGTCCATTGACGTTGTGGGTTGATGGGAGATCTTAGAATTCACCACTTGATTCAACATCTACATGCAGAATCAAGCCGATATTGAAGAGAAGCACTCTCCAATGATTTCGGGCAAGCATCCGAATCTGGAGGAGTCGGTGGACGTGCAGAGAGTTCAACATTTCGGACAGAAACAGCAAACAGACAAGACCTCCTATTTTAGAAGATTCGACACAACGTTCGAATTGTATGTATGTATGTGCTCCCCCCACCCGTCCATAGATTCCCAACAGACCACTATAAGACTTCTTCTCCCCACAGTTCATATCTTCAGTGATACGCGATTTCCTAAACCCGCTAAGCTTAGAGAAAGCAGGTGGAAGATCTTAGTTTTTTTCTTCTACGCGTACCGAACATATCGCTCTGAATCTTAAGCGGATAATCTATTGGTGCACATGGTGCACATTACTACGACTCTGCACGAGCCGCAATTTTTTTCTCCTCAAGTATGTTTGGAACCGACTCTCGTCGACATTTGCTGTACTCCTCTGCCCACGTTTCCAAGTTATTGGAGTGTAAAACGCAATATGGAGAAAAGGGTGGACTCTGTCTTCTGTCTGGAAGGGGAGGGAGTGGGGCTAGAGTCGACGAGATCAGAGTCAACTACATTTAAGCTGCGTATACATCACCAGCCTTCGTACGAAAGCTAAAGAGATTTATACTACGTAGTTCCTCTCTGACCACGAGAGTCATGTCAACCTGCTTTTGTCTGTTAAAATTAGACTGCTAAAGGAGACTCGGTGAACCCTATGGTGAGAATTCCTGGAACAAATCTGGCAGCGATACTCCATGTTATGAACGCGTGTCCCATGCTGCTGGCAACTGCTGAATACTCAGAGCATGGGTTAAGAGTAGGCACGAGACCTAAAGCTCGAGATCGATAGCAGGTGCATCCATTCGGCAGGAGGTTGCAATTTTTAATGGCCGAATTCAGACAGGGATGGTTGCTACTAATGTTTGGTCATGTCCATAGAAGACAGCACGGGAAACCGAAAGATGCTTCAGCTCCACTGGAAGCCGGAATAAGCATGCAATACTAGGCGGTGGTGCATGTAAAGTATGCCCCTGGAGCTAATTTTAGTACCTCTCTTAAAAATCTCCGAGCTCGTGCTGCTCTTCACATAAAGTTCTACCTTCGTTTGACTCGTTTCTGAAAGTCAGCTCAGAGGCGATCTGTTACTGACTGGGCCCAATATTCCGAGCACAAACTTACCAACCGGTGTTTGACAATGAAAAAAGGTTGCCTTGTCTTCTCCTCGCCAGAGCCATATCTTGCACGTTATTTTATTTTTCCCCAACGAAGTTGTAAACGTTGCAATTCTTTCGATTCCAGTCCTGATAAAAATTTTCCATTTATGGACATCAATGGCTTGATATACATTCACAGAGCACTCCTGTCATTTGGTAGCTGACGGGTCAGCCGAAAAAAAAAACCTATAGTATTATAATTTGCTGACATCTTGCCTCTTGAGTACTCCGCAAAGGGCTATTACTCATGACTCTGCGAACAAATTAAACTACTCCAAGCCCCAATGTTGTGTAAACCGAGGCTACATACGGCACGTAGTGTCACTTTCTCAGCCCTTTCTTCAATCTAATGTTTTATAATATACAT